CACACAGATAGACAGAGGAAAATTAACATTCTAGACGTTATGCAGTTGCTTCATCTTATCATATTTGTTGTTTCGGTCTATTGACATATTTATTGATAAATGAAGTTGCAAAACAGTTTTTTTGTCAATTACCTGTTTGTCATGACGCTAAATAACCAAAAAGATGTACTTATCTTTTCAATGTCGAAAGTAACCACTAGATATAAGTATACAATTCTGGTGTCTGAAATTATTCTGTCGCCATAGCTCAGTCGGTTGACGGCCAGACAGGGAATACCGAGGACCGCAGTTCGAATTTCACAGTGGCTTTTTGAATTTGAGAGCAAAATTTTTCATTTGGAACTTAATGTTTTTGACATTTGCTACAAGCCAGATCATACGTTCAATTCGCATTTCTAAATGATATCATAATTTGGCGATATAATTTGTCAACCTTTCGTTTGGGCGAGTCAAATCTTCGGTTGAAATTATTTATGTTCGAACTCTTGTAATTCTTTAATTAACCATTCATTTTTAATTTTTTAGATGAAGCAGTTCCAATGAAATTCAAATTATTGCTTAGCCTGCTCACAAACCAGTGTAACTGATCGAGATGCACTTTATGAAAGTTCTAAATGTTATCACGAATAGGGGGATAAATAAAGAGTAAGTGTACATGAGGCAAAATAACAGAAAATGACAGCAAAAAAATAGCCTTCAGAGAGAGTCGAACTCTCGACCTCCAGTTTACTAGACTGGCGCTCTTTTTATCATTAATAAAATTTTTATTACATATTTACATACTGTCAGCATTAGACATTCCTCATTGGTGAGAAGTTTTCTATTTACAGAGTTGTTAGTAGTTATCCTCCTACATTAGGAAAAAAATAAAATACATCTAGATGATACACGTTAAAAAATTTTAAAAATGTATAGCATATTAGTCCCAATTTATTCTATAGTAATTCATTTATCAAAAGTGTATATGAATTGAACAGGACAGATTCAATATAAGTTATATATTGAAAGCGAGACAACTCTCAAATATTTTCAAAAGTCGAACACACCTAAATGCGATCGATAATTTTACATTGGAATGTGATCTTTTGTTCTAACAACCAATCAAATTGAAGAAACTGTCTAGACAAACAAAACTATGTTGTCATTTTGAATATCCAATAAAGTGTTATTGTTTAAAAAATATTTGTAAAATAATTGTCTTTGTTGTGTCATTTTATCATACATGTATGCGTATTCAATGTATTTTTTAATTGTGTACTTGAATAGACGAAGTGCATCTATGTCTTTGTCATGAAAAACTTTTAAATTCCGTGTTTTGAATATGCAAAGTCGGGCTACACTGAGGAAAAAATTTAAAAAGTAAGTATTAATAACTTGTGAACGTTTCAAAAACCCAAGTAAAAATAACTGTTCATAATCAATGGAATTAACCATATTAGCCGGATATTGATAAAAATGTTGTGTAATATGTCTTTCAGGTAATCATGAAGTGGTTTGAACTTTTGACAATGTACAAACAGGTGACTAAGATTTTCTATACCCTGGCCGCACGTTTTGCATGTGCCAGTATCTGCCTGACCTATTCTGACCAACTTTTCAAGTATAAAAATAGCTCGATGGACAATCCTATAGTTTAAACAATGACAATCAGGAGGTAAACAACTCTGATTGACAACCACATAAAGACTTTTGAAATTGAAAGACGGATATTGCTCCGCCCAATGCTTTTCAGCAGAGGGCGTTTCAAAAAATTTTGACAGAAGAAGACTGTAAAATAATTTCGTCACAGCACTTCTAAGGTGAATTTCTCTGTCGTTATCTAAACAAATTTTAACAATCGGAGTAATCTCAACATTCAGAGGATTTTCGGATTTTAATAGTTCTTTCCACTCTTCAGGAATACATCGTATGATTTTTTCGAAAGCTGTTTTTATTTGTTCTGTTTTTTCATCAGGAAATTTTTGTTTTATTATTTCATCTATTGAATTCGATGTGAAGAAACCCGGCATAAATTCATAGCAAATGTCTTTTATCCGTATCAAGCCTGTTTGAATGAATTTTTCAAACAGAAGCATTTTACCGTTGCATGTTATATTTGGATTACAAAACAGCGGATTATTATATACATGTTGCACTTGAAAATCGATTTTGAAATTGGATTTTATTTTTTAATACGCGTTTATCATTTCTTGATAATAAAGTGGTAAGTGTTTAATCTGTTTTGAATTTAAATGCGTATAAACAATATCTTGTTTTAAATCCATATTATCGATTTTAGAGATAAAGTATTCAAACGCACCTTTCCAAATTGATTGACATTCAGGATCCAAATATTTTTTAAGAAATTTTAATCCAAAGGCTTGCATTTTTAGAAAAATATCAGGAATGTTTAATCCACCTTCCATTTTTGTACCTACTACACTTTGATATCTTACTAAATGTGATTTATTTTGCCAAAGAAACTTTATAACAATTAGACGGATTTCATTTTTAACTTTTTCCGGCAATGGACATATAGTTACAGTATAATATAACCTCGACATTATAAGGGAAGTTAAAACTATAGCTCGACCTGGTAAAGTTAAATCTCTTTTATTCCAAAAGAATAAAATTGTTTTATCTTTTTTATTTTATCTTTCCAGTTAAGAAGTTCACATAACTCTTTATCCTTTCCAACATATATGCCTAAGACTTTTGTTACATTTTCACATTTTTGTATTTGTAATTTATCTAACTCTGAATCAGTAAAACTGCCAGAACCTAAACTCATAATTTCAGATTTTTGTCTATTAATTTTAGCTCCAGAAGCCTCACTGTACAAATTAAGAACTTTGAAAGTTTCATTTACAGATTTTTTATTTGAAGTAAAAATATTTGTGTCATCTGCGTGTTGAAATATTTTAGCATTTACATTTGACTTTGGGATATTAACACTCTGAATATTTTCATTTTTAATTATAGCTTGACCTAATGGTTCTGCCACCAACACATAGAGGAGAGCAGAAACTGGACATCCTTGTTTTATTGAATTATTAAGTTTAACATACTTTGTAAGGAAACCATTACATTTTACACTGCTGTTTACATTGTTATAAAATATTTTAATCCACTGCATAAATTTAGGACCAAAACCAAATTTTTCTAAAACTAAAAACAGATAATCATGGTCAACTTTATCAAAAGCTTTTTCCTGGTCAACTTTAATAAGATAGGCTTCTAAATCATCATTTTCAATTATTTCAATTAGATCTCTTATACTTGATGTAGTGTCTGCAATGTCGCGGCCTAGTATGCAACATGTTTGAAAACTAGACACTAATTTCGGTAGAACAAATTTTAATCTATTGGACATTATTCTAGCAATTATTTTGTAGTCTACAGAAAGCAAGGATATCGGTCTAAAATTTTTTAATAATTTTTTATCCCCTTTGTTTTTATAAACTAAGTTTATTATACCATGCCGCATGGATCTTGTTAGTATATGTTCTTCTTCTATAACTTTAAAAAATTTAAGAAAAATCTCACCAAACAAATGAAAAAATTTACAAAAGAATTCAACTGTTAATCCATCAGGACCCAGAGATTTATTTTTTGACATGCCAAATAATGACGATTTAATTTCATGTAGAGTTAAATCGGTTTCTATATTTTCACTGTCTTCATCAGAAACTTTTTCAGAAATAAATTCCAAAATTTCTGTTGCCTTATCTTTATTTATTACTGTACTAGAGTATAACTCTTTATAAAATTTATGTACTTCTTCTAAAATTTCATCTGTAGTTTTTAAAATTTTGCCCTCGGTTGTTTTTAATTCTTTTATAGCGTTACTATTTTGTTTATATTTTTCAAGTTGCAAAATATATTTAGAACTTTTATCACCGTCTATAGCCCATTGGGCCTTTGAGCGCAAAATTGCACCTTTACAAATTTTATCTTCATATGTTTTAAGTTTTAGTTTCATTTCTTCGAACTTATTTACATCAAAATTTACATTATTTACCGCCATAGACGATAGTTTTTCGTATTCATTTTGAAGCTTAAAATATTCTGACTTTTCAATACGCGATTTATTTTGCGCATAGGATTTTGATAATTGTTTTATTTTAAATTTTAAATTGTCATACCAAATAAGCGGCTCATCATCAAAAAGTCTACAACTTTTTTCTTTTTCAATTAATCGTGAAATTTTTTGAACATAATCCTCGTCATGTAATAACAAATTATTAAATATCCATAACCCTGGGCCTCTCTCAATTTCAGTAAAATCTATATTTAGATTGACAAAAGAGTGGTCACTGAAAGTATTATGTTTATAATACACGTTTTTGACGAAGTGTGAATATGCTTTCGGAATAAAAATGTGGTCAATTCTACTTTGAATTAGGACATTTTGAACGATACGACGCCAAGAGAAGGTTCGTGCATTTTGATTTCTCGCTCGCCATACATCATACAAATTAAACATGTCACACATGTTTGTGAGTTCTTTGTATGCTTTATCTTGAGTGTGTACTGTTTTACCACAACGATCAAGATTTGACAGAGATGTATTCATACCACCTAGCAAAATTATATTTTCTGAATTCGTCATTTTAGAAGCAAGTTTCTCAAAAAACTTATTTTTTTCTTGCATAATGTTTTTAATTTGCAATTAATTATATCAATAGTTTTATCGTCCTGTTTAAAGGAAATATGGATACATCTACCGTCAAAACTTTGAATTTCGGACACTTGATTTTGTACTCTTTTGCTTACTAAAAAAGCAACACCTTGTCTCAGGTTTACACCATTACAAAAATATATTTTTCCTTCCCAAAATTTTTCAATATTTGGAATAATACCATCATCCCAAAAGGTTTCTTGGATACCAACAATATCAAAATAATTTTCTGAACAATATTTTGTAAAATTATGAAACTTTGTTACATCTCTGAGACCATTAGCATTTATGCTAACAATATTTACCATCAACAAGAAAAATAAACAATAAAGGTGTGTACCTATGAACTTGAACTTGGTTGATTAGGGGAGAGTTTAGACTTAGGATTAGACTTCATCTTCTTAATGTCCTCAGGGGTGAGGTTAGGGCTAGTAACTAAACGACGCCTTCTTTTTTTACCCATACTACGAGCCAGTTCCTCATCAGTAATTTCCATTTCTGATTCACTGGCAATCGAAGACTCTACATTTTTGTCATGATCACAATCAACCATGTCAACATTTGACTCATGAGAAACTTTCTCGTTCACTTTTTTGGACCCCCCTTTTTTATGCAAAATAATTATTTCATTGTCAATTAAATTGTCTTTTGAATGTTCATGTACTGTCATAACTTCAGTTTGTTCATCATCATCGTCAGGAGTATTGTTACTGGAATCAGTGTTAGGATTTTCATCTAGGTTTAGTTCATCTTGGGCAGTATTAACATCAGAATTTTCTTTTACATCTGTTGAATCATCACGGTCATCTAAATTTAGCGCATCATCTACATCATCTACATCATCACGATCATCATTCTTAACCTCTTCATCTTCTTCCATTTGTTCATCATTAGTTGCATTATCATTTTCGACATTAGAGTCTTCAGCTTTAGAGTCATTTTGGGGTTCAGTATCAGGACGATCATGACCCCATACAGGTTCACAAATACAGCTGGCTGGATATCGCTGACACTTATCACAGCGTGGTTTCGGACAATTGCGAGCCAAATGACCACTATCTTTGCAATGATAACACATATTGTCAGGGCATTTAATATAAACATGGCCGGACTCGAAGCATTTCGAGCAGACCCTTTTCTGATTGTCATGTAATACTCTTATGTATTCGTGCGAATTGACACCTGTAGAAAATTTCATACTGTACGGTAGACTTTGACGAAATTCTGGGAACCTTACTACTACGTACCTTGTACCATCTCCAATGGTCGTGCCAGGATGCATTTGGCGTTTAATAGGCGATATTAGTTCGGCACCGAAATCTTCAAGTTTTTTGGTAATTTCTTCATCCGTCACATAATATGACACATTAAGGAAGCTCACCATTTTTTGCTTTGAAAATACAGCGTTTGGCTTAAATTTCACATTGTTAACTTTGAACCCCGTGTCGCATAACAAATCAACAGCTTCTAATTCTTTAAGTGTTATTTCATACACGTTTCCGCTTTTAGGTACACAAGCCTCCACTACACCATCACCAACTTCTGCTTCTACACTATTTATAACCGACAAGGCCGAAACATTTTTATTGTCCCCAACATCAACAAAGACAGTCTGTTCCTTCACAGTTCTATTCGCCCCCATTTCACCAGGCATGGTGAAGGGAGGTTACGAAAACACTTTAAAATGTCAGAAATATGGAAAATAATTCACGATTCTCAAATGTAATGTCACTGGGAGTATTCACTTACACCTTAAAAGCCATGGATGGCTCGTCCAAAGACGAGAAAAATTTCGATTGAAAATCAGCTTTGAAAATTACGTCCTTCTTGCTGAATGTCCAAACCGGAAGTCCTGGCGCTCTAACCAACTGAGCTATGAAGGCTCCACGTTAAATGATTTGAAATATTCAATATTTATATCTAGACTTATTCTTCCGTGATCTATGGGCAAGTATATACAAGTGCATAAAGATAGACAGAGGAAAATTAACATTCTAGACGTTATGCAGTTGCTTCTGTTTTACTTTTCCTAAGTATGAGACGACACGGTCGATTTTATGTTCATACATCGATTTGTCTTTCTATCGTATCATCTTATCATATTTGTTGTTTCGGTCTATTGACATATTTATTGATAGATGAAGTTGCAAAACAGTTTTTTTGTCAATTACCTGTTTGTCATGACGCTAAATAACCAAAAAGATGTATTTATCTTTTCGAAGTCGAAAGTAACCACTAGATATAAGTATACAATTCTGATGTCTGAAACTATTCTGTCGCCATAGCTCAGTCGGTTGACGGCCAGACAGGGAATACCGAGGACCGCAGTTCGAATCTCACAATGGCTTTTTTTGAATTTGAGAGCAAAATTTCTCATTTGGAACTTAATGTTTTTGACATTTGCTGCAAGCCAGATTAAACGTTCAATTCGCATTTCTAAATGATATCAAAATTTGGCGATATAATTTGTCAACCTTTCGTATGGACGAGTCAAATCTTCGGTTGAAATTATTCATGATCCACTTCTTGTAATCCTTTAATTAACCATTCATTTATAGATGAAGCAGTTCAAATGAAATTGCATTTTAACAATTCAAATTATTGCTTAGCCTGCTCACAAACCAGTGTAACTGATCGAGATGCACTTTATGAAAGTTCTAAATGTTATCACGAATAGGGGGATAAATAAAGAGTAAGTGTACGTGAGGCAAAATAACAGAAAATGACAGCAAAAAAAATAGCCTTCAGAGAGAGTCGAACTCTCGACGTCCAGTTTACTAGACTGGCGCTCTAACCAACTGAGCGATGAAGGCTCCACGTTAAATGATTTGAAATATTCAATATTTATATCTAGACTTATTCTTCCGTGATCCACGGGCAAGTATATACAAGTGCATACAGATAGACAGAGGAAAATTAACATTCTAGACGTTATGCAGTTGCTTCTGTTTTACTTTTCCTAAGTATGAAACGACACGGTCGATTTTATGTTCATACATCGATTTGTCTTTCTATCGTATCATCTTATCATATTTGTTGTTTCGGTCTATTGACATATTTATTGATAGATGAAGTTGCAAAACAGTTTTTTTGTCAATTACCTGTTTGTCATGACGCTAAATAACCAAAAAGATGTACTTATCTTTTCGAAGTCGAAAGTAACCACTAGATATAAGTATACAATTCTGATGTCTGAAAATATTCTGTCGCCATAGCTCAGTCGGTTGACGGCCAGACAGGGAATACCGAGGACCGCAGTTCGAATCTCACAATGGCTTTTTGAATTTGAGAGCAAAATTTCTCATTTGGAACTTAATGTTTTTGACATTTGCTACAAGCCAGATCAAACGTTCAATTCGCATTTCTAAATGATATCAACATTTGGCGATATAATTTGTCAACCTTTCGTATGGACGAGTCAAATCTTCGGTTGAAATTATTCATGATCCACTTCTTGTAATCCTTTAATTAACCATTCATTTATAGATGAAGCAGTTCAAATGAAATTGCATTTTAACAATTCAAATTATTGCTTTGCCTGCTCACAAACCAGTGTAACTGATCGAGATGCACTTTATGAAAGTTCTAAATGTTATCACGAATAGGGGGATAAATAAAGAGTAAGTGTACGTGAGGCAAAATAACAGAAAATGACAGCAAAAAAAATAGCCTTCAGAGAGAGTCGAACTCTCGACCTCCAGTTTACTAGACTGGCGCTCTAACCAACTGAGCGATGAAGGCTCCACGTTAAATGATTTGAAATATTCAATATTTATATCTAGACTTATTCTTCCGTGATCCATGGGCAAGTATATACAAGTGCATACAGATAGACAGAGGAAAATTAACATTCTAGACGTTATGCAGTTGCTTCTGTTTTACTTTTCCTAAGTATGAGACGACACGGTCGATTTTATGTTCATACATCGATTTGTCTTTCTATCGTATCATCTTATCATATTTGTTGTTTCGGTCTATTGACATATTTATTGATAGATGAAGTTGCAAAACAGTTTTTTTGTCAATTACCTGTTTGTCATGACACTAAATTACCAAAAAGATGTACTTATCGTTTCGAAGTCGAAAGTAACCACTAGATATAAGTATACAATTCTGATGTCTGAAACTATTCTGTCGCCATAGCTCAGTCGGTTGACGGCCAGACAGGGAATACCGAGGACCGCAGTTCGAATCTCAAAATGGCTTTTTGAATTTGAGAGCAAAATTTCTCATTTGGAACTTAATGTTTTTGACATTTGCTACAAGTCAGATCAAACGTTCAATTCGCATTTCTAAATGATATCAAAATTTGGCGATATAATTTGTCAACCTTTCGTATGGACGAGTCAAATCTTCGGTTGAAATTATTCATGATCCACTTCTTGTAATCCTTTAATTAACCATTCATTTATAGATGAAGCAGTTCAAATGAAATTGCATTTTAACAATTCAAATTATTGCTTAGCCTGCTCACAAACCAGTGTAACACTGATCGAGATGCACTTTATGATAGTTCTAAATGTTATCACGAATAGGGGGATAAATAAAGAGTAAGTGTACGTGAGGCAAAATAACAGAAAATGACAGCAAAAAAATAGCCTTCAGAGAGAGTCGAACTCTCGACCTCCAGTTTACTAGACTGGCGATCTAACTAACTGAGCGATGAAGGCTCCACGTTAAATGATTTGAAATATTCAATATTTATATCTAGACTTATTCTTCCGTGATCTATGAGCAAGTATATACAAGTGCATACAGATAGACAGAGGAAAATTAACATTCTAGACGTTATGCAGTTGCTTCTGTTTTACTTTTCCTAAGTATGAGACGACACGGTCGATTTTATGTTCATACATCGATTTGTCTTTCTATCGTATCATCTTATCATATTTGTTGTTTCGGTCTATTGACATATTTATTGATAGATGAAGTTGCAAAACAGTTTTTTTGTCAATTACCTATGTGTCATGACGCTAAATAACCAAAAAGATGTACTTATCTTTTCGAAGTCGAAAGTAACCACTAGATATAAGTATACAATTCTGATACCTGAAACTATTCTTTCGCCATAGCTCAGTCGGTTGACGGCCAGACAGGGAATACCGAGGACCGCAGTTCGAATCTCACAATGGCTTTTTGAATTTGAGAGCAAAATTTCTCATTTGGAACTTAATGTTTTTGACATTTGCTACAAGTCAGATCAAACGTTCAATTCGCATTTCTAAATGATATCAAAATTTGGCGATATAATTTGTCAACCTTTCGTATGGACGAGTCAAATCTTCGGTTGAAATTATTCATGATCCACTTCTTGTAATCCTTTAATTAACCATTCATTTATAGATGAAGCAGTTCAAATGAAATTGCATTTTAACAATTCAAATTATTGCTTAGCCTGCTCACAAACCAGTGTAACTGATCGAGATGCACTTTATGATAGTTCTAAATGTTATCACGAATAGGGGGATAAATAAAGAGTAAGTGTACGTGAGGCAAAATAACAGAAAATGACTGCAAAAAAATAGCCTTCAGAGAGAGTCGAACTCTCGACCTCCAGTTTATTAGACTGGCGCTCTTACCAACTGATCTATGAAGGCTCCACGTTAAATGATTTGAAATATTCAATATTTATATCTAGACTTATTCTTCCGTGATCTATGGGCAAGTATATACAAGTGCATACAGATAGACAGAGGAAAATTAACATTCTAGACGTTATGCAGTTGCTTCTGTTTTACTTTTCCTAAGTATGAGACGACACGGTCGATTTTATGTTCATACATCGATTTGTCTTTCTATCGTATCATCTTATCATATTTGTTGTTTCGGTCTATTGACATATTTATTGATAGATGAAGTTGCAAAACAGTTTTTTTGTCAATTACCTGTTTGTCATGACGCTAAATAATCAAAAAGATGTACTTATCTTTTCGAAGTCGAAAGTAACCACTAGATATAAGTATACAATTCTGATGTCTGAAAATATTCTGTCGCCATAGCTCAGTCGGTTGACGGCCAGACAGGGAATACCGAGGACCGCAGTTCGAATCTCACAATGGCTTTTTGAATTTGAGAGCA